AAAGCAACAGAAAACCTGCTGTGCCTTCACAAAGCCATGGTGTTTAAATCATTAGTGCAGACTAAACGTTGCTTATTTAGGCTCATGTTTGGCGGCCCACTAAACTCTGTTCTAATGAGCTGACAAACGCAGAGAGGTGTCCAGGTTTGCTGCTTCTGTTTTCTCACCTCCACGTGTTTAATTGCCCAACACTGCCACCTGACCCAGCAGGACAAAGCCCTTTGTGTTGATAAACAGGAATGTGAAATTAAACCCCGAGCACAGTGTGGGCCACAGTTGTGCATCTAGTGTAGTGAGGAGAGGTGGATATTTGGCAGCACTCTTTGTGATGTGTCCAGCTCCCAATAATAGTGAAAGAATAATGACAGAAATGTATGTGAGCTTATTTTAGAAAGACTTTCAGGTTGATTAGTTCTTGCTTATTTTTTTTTTATTAGAAGATGGCATAATAAATCCCACAGCATCACAGGTCCTCCATCCTATCCAGTGGGGGCGAGGGCATTTTTGTTTTTATTTTTATTCATAAATTGATCCACCACACACACTTGCGGTGTTTTTCTGCTAAACGGTTCATTCTCACTTCCTTCCCACAAAACTGTTAAAACCTCCGTTGTTTAAAGAAAATTATATATTTATATTTGTGCTGGACAGATTTTATTTCCTGGTATCCACTGAAAATGATCATTTGTGATGTAGATATCAAGATGAATTTAGGTCTTTATTCAGGTTTTTTCTTTTTTCGTCACAGCTCCAGTTGTTTTAAACTTTTCAATCATTACTCTATCTGCAGATTATATACAGATTTAGACGAGTGGCTTAATTTCTCATGGCCTATCCCCCAAATTATGAGAATCAACGCAGATATCCTATTTGAATGGCATGTTCTCTCTTCTTTCCCATATTGAAGAGAGGCTAAGAGCGGTGGACCCTTTGTCTCGCCATATCAGGGAAACTGAAAGTCAACATTTACAAATTAGACGCTGTGTCTGACTTAGGAGAAAATGATAAATTAAAGTAATGCCTCAGTTATATCTGCTGTATTGGGATGTGTAGGTGTTTCCTTGAGTTTGTCACTGATCTGGTCTAAATAAATATTTTTTTATAGCTTAATTAAAAGATTTCCAAGGTTAGATTATGCTGTTGTAATAAAAAGTGTATCTGAGCGTTTCTCTTTCTGGGGTAGCGGATAACTGTGAAGTGTATTCATCATTCTGATTGTACTGTACTGATCCATTGGGCTCACAGGATGTAATCTAATTACTGACTGAGCCTCTGCAAACTGACCACAGCGCATTTGTTTACCACATCAACTTGCTGCTTTGCATGCATTTCTGACTCTGGCTCTCTGGCGCTACTTGGTTCTGCTGTCTGAATCTGTTGAGCTTCACGTTGAATCGGCGTGGCTTAAAAACCTTCTTGTTTGCGACCTGCGTTGCAGCCGGTGGTAACAAGCCAGCTCGGCACCATCAACAACCTGATCACTGTGAAGAAGTCGGACTTTGAGGTGTTTGACGCCCTGCAGGTCGACTCTCTGGAGTGCTCCGACACTTCAGGTGAGCCGGCTCTCAGTCACTTCCTCTTGCGCTGTTTCTAATTGTCTGAAGCACAGGTAACGAGCAGATATAAGCATTCTTTATTTTTCTTTTGTAATGTTTGTGTTGCATCTTCACAGACTTGTCCAGCTCCCCTCCAGGACCTTACGGTCAGGAACAGTACATCTTTAGACCAGAAGAGCACTTCAAAGCGCCGCCCATCCTCCCTCCTCACCTGCTTCAAGTTATTCTCAACAAAGACACCAATGTGTCGGTCAGTCTCTTCAGCGGTCTCATTCTCGCCTCTCCACGCGTTGAATACTTGACCTGACCCCTTCCAGCTTCTTAACTGATGACTTTCTTTGTCATTATTCTTTCTCTGTCTCCTTCAGTGTGATCCTGCCCTGCTGCCTGAACCCAACCATGTCATGCTTAATCACCTTTACGCTCTCTCAATAAAGGTAGGTTTACTAGCAGCAAAGGTTGATTATTACATGAAATATTACACTCAATGTTATTTTCTCTGAACATAACATTGTTCAGGGAAAACAGTGTTTTCAGAGAAACACGCTGTTCAGAGAAAGATATAACACATCGTTTTATCCGAACACATTGTTCAGAGAAAACTTCAATTAAACCAGAACTGTTGTTTCTCTTGTGATTGTTTTAAATTAAACAGAGTGGCTCGCGAAAATATTCATGTGACACACCCAAAGCTTTCATGTATTTTATTGTGATTTTTATGTGACACACCAACCCAAAGCTTATTTTTGAAAATGTCTAAACATCAAAATTGAACATTTTCAAGTGATTATACAGTTTTATATTTTATTTATGTAGGCAGTGGCTGAAGTGGTTTATATTACTTTATGCACCGAGTAAAATCCAACATTTTCTCCAGTCAGTTCTAAACACTGAACGTGGACAAATTATTTTTGGATATATAATGTTTATTCAAGTAATTAGAATTTATTCAAATTAAATTTGTGTTATTTTATACTGCTATCATGTTCAAAATCAATAAAAAAAAAAAAAATTGGTGTCAGAAAAAATTTGCCAAAAATGTTTTTCCTTATTGAACCATATCGAAAATTTTAGAAACCATTTTTTTCCCCCAATAATACACATATTTTTCTTGGTTTATCACATAAAATCTCAATAAAATCTAACAAAGTTTTTTGTTACGCTGTGACAAAAGGTGAAAAAGAAGGCTATGAATACTACTCCATTTATGATTGGTATTTTAAAATCAATTAGTGTCTTTGTGCCATTTTGTCTCAGGTGCTGCTGCGTAAAACTCTTCAGTCGTTGCTTGTTTTCTCTTGGCTTTAATCTGACACAGTTTTCCCTTAATGTGTTTTCTCCCTGTGTGCAGGACGGCGTAATGGTCCTCAGCGCTACTCACAGATACAAGAAGAAATATGTCACCTCTTTGCTTTACAAGCCCATCTAAGCTCTTGTGCCCCAGAGTTCTTTCTCCAGCTGCTTTTGTTGACTCTTTTTCATTTTTCCGCATTTAGCCGAATCTTGCAGCAAAACACATTTACAAGCAATTTTTAGCACCAGTTACTCTGAGTGAGACTGCACTTCTGTCTATAATAGGGCTCTGTACAAAAGTAGAAGTGTGTTTGTGTTGGGTTTCAGGGAGAGATTACCGTACTGTGGCTTTAAATCCTAATGACTACGCGTGAGACTGGATCAGTCGCAACATGTTGTGATTGTTTTTTCATCTTGGTTTGCAAGAAAAAAAAAAAAGAAAAAAAAATCTTGTAACTTTTGTGTGGCAGATGACCTATGAATGATCTGTGGTGGGACGTTAGTGATGAGCTTCAGCTTCAAACCGGTTACCTTTACATGCTTTATCTGACTGTGTTACAGTTACCTAAACTCCCCGATTCCTGTATGCAGAATGAGGGACTGATCCTCTCCACTGTTTTAACCTGAGTGCAATAATGTGCCATAAAAGCAGTTCAAAGAACTGGGGGCACGACTTTCTGCTTTGATCAACTTCGCGGTAGAGTCTACTGAAAACAAAGAGTCGATTTCAGTTTACCCAACAAAATGGTTTCTGTACACGGTGTTGTTAATGTATTCGTATTCCTTGAATTTTTCTTTCACTGCAGCGACAAACTTTAACTAATTTTGGTGGGGATGTATGTGACGGGCCGCACCGAATCTCAGGAGCTCCTCCCAAGTTACAAAGAGCCTGTTTCTCTTGTAATGCTCTCCTTTCATGCACTGTTGGTTCAGATGGATGGCCATTCCTTGGTATGTTTATGTAGCTTAAGAGTGTTAGGATTTTTATTCATCAGATAACAAGTTGAACAGAGCTCTGTGAGACGTTCGAAGCGTGGGATGTTGTCATGTAACTGAGCTCTGATTTAAATGTCTTTACAACTTTATCCCTTCACTAATTTCCTCCAACAGACCTTCATACCGAGATTAACCAAATAGGTCAGTTCTCAATGCAATTGAGAATAAAGTGTTTCATTCAGGGGTATCAAAGTAAAGGGGTCACGCTTCAAAAGTAAGTAACCAAATTTGAATAGCACAGAATTTTACAGTACTTTGTGTTGATCTTGGACAAAAAAAATCCCAATGGAGAAAAAGTTCAAGGGGTACAAATACATTTGAAAAAAATTTGAGTCGCTAAGCCGGGAAAACTCCGTGAACCAATGGAGAATATTGTTGAATAGTCTGTGTTCGGTTTCTTACGTTGCCTTTGAGCAGATGAGATTGTGAGCACTTTACCATCCTGTGAGCAGGAGTGTTGATGTGGTCGTGTAACTATGCAGCAGCACACAACTCTTGCTCTTTAGCTTCTCTGATGTAAATGTATGTTGAACATCAGTTGTGTTAGATTTACTAGATAGTTCTATTTACCAAACATGAATGTACCGTCTTTTTGTCGCATGTAGAGAAAACGTGTCAGCAGGCTGCTCTTTTTAATACCCACAGCTTGGGAGGACACATTCAGAAAGCGATCACCACATGAACTAAAGGGGGCTGTGATGAGGAGTAGCTGCCATAGATTTAAATGTACATTTTGTTCACTTGTGTGTTCATGAAAAATATTTAAGTGTTTTTATTTTTATTTGGTGTGCTGCTCTTTGGCCTGAATTAATTGTGTGCACATACTAAAAAAAAGGGACTCTAAAACCCTGTCAGGGTTCACATAGAGAGCTGGAAGCATCTTGTTAATGTTGAGCCTGCCTGCGACATTGCGTCCAAAGCATTTATGAGGCTCCGAGAACCGATGAGGCAGTTTCAAGAAGTGCCACGAACACAGAGTTTTAAAGCTAAAACCAAAACTTGAATATTTTTGCAGCCCTTTTGTGAATGTTGCAAATAAAGATTGGACACTGATGCTAATCCAGTTTCTGATGCTTTTTTTTTATTTGTGTTTTTGTTATTTGTTTATGCATTTCTTACTTGTCAACCAAATTAAAGTTTTACTTTTTCTGCTGCTTTGAGGGGATGCTAGGCAGATAGTTTTGGCAGATCTTATTGCTTTAACAGGCGAGCAAATTTTGCATGTTGGCATATTATCCATTACGATGCATTTTAAATCAGTTTTTGATGGTCTTGGTATTATTGACTACAATACTATTTTACAGATTTTTTTTGTTAGTATGGAAACGTATACATGACTTTATGCCACACGTCAAACTAATTAATCAGTTGATAATTGCGAATAATTGTTGTAGAAAGTCCGATGCAACAGCATATTTCCATGCAGGTGCCCGTACCAAAATGGCTACTGCGTCAACGCATCGTCGAAGCGACAGCTACGCATTTACATTTGTGCATTTCAAGCATTGTATTTATTTCAATGTTAGCGGATGTATGGCAACAAGAAATAATAATTATTCAAGCGGACAAGTTGTGGATATTTCAATTTTGTTGTCCTCAGCGTATCGCTATGTCGCAAATTAAAAAGACACAACTACGCATGCACAACGGTTGCTGTGGTTACCTGTACACATGAGTTTTCTCTTGCATTCAAAATGGTAAGTTTTGACAAGTTTTGTCTATTGAAAACGATTAATATTTAGATTGTTTTTGTCAGAACATGTTTTGCATTACTTCCGGTGGAGTTCACATTTTTAAATGGGTCAAAATGTCCTAATTTGTTTTCTCACTATTTTTTTTAAATGAAAATACTTCCCTGCAAAAGCATTTCTGAAGGTGAAAGAAAACTTATAGCACAACAGTTGATCAGTCACTTTCTTTGTATCAATTTAACAGAATTTAAAAAAGCATCTCGATATCAGGAGACATGTCCAGTATTTCTATGATGAACTTTTTGAAAAGAAATTGTACTAATGTAGTAATGTAGTGTCAAGTTACATTAAAATACAAGGAAGTTTGTAGTTGTGATGCAATAAAATGGGAAAACGTAAAGTTATATTTTTTTTTAGTGTAAATTAGACACAAACTTGTCTATCGTTTAAAAGTGTCTCCAGACTTTGCATGAACATGATCTCTTAAACTAAAGTATTATCTGGAGATAATACTGTCTTTGTCTATCTCTTTGTGTGTTCTCTATTTCGGTTTTCTGGGCCCTGGAATCTTAAATGTAAAAATTGTCTTCTTCAAATCCTAATGTCTAATGTTAAACCTTGATTTCATTTTTTCCTTGCATGTCCTTTTGTAACTTTCTTTTTCGTGAATGATAGCCACCCAAGAAGAAAAAGGTATGTGCTAGAAGCACACAGTTAGTCTATTTAATCTCACAATAAATCCCTTTAATCCCTATACTTTCTTTAAATTAAAATTTTCTAACACTATCCAGTCTCTAGGTACAATAAAGCGGTTTTCTATGTTAAACACTCTCATTTTGGATGTTTCTAGAAGAAAGTCAGGATGAGTAAAGCAGAGAGGTTAAAGAAGCAGCAAGAGGAAGAAGGTAATTCTTATGTTTTATAGCTACAATAAAGATAGCTTTATTTATTACCTTTATTTTGTTGTATAAAGAAGGTAGCTATTTTAAAGCATTCAACATTTTATTTTAAGCCTCAACTCATAACTAAACTTTCTTGCAGCTTATAACAACTGAAGCCATGTACATACACTGTATAAAAATGCACGTTCTTATTACTTCATGCTAATCTTTTCCTGTTTTAGCTCAGCTAGAATTACCTAAATTATTATTCTAAATACAAGAAGAATGTATCTGAGCTTGTTGTGTTTGTGCAAAGTATGTAACAATGTAACAATGTCTTTAGTAAATATCACAAGTACTGTAGTACCATTTCTTCCTCAAAATCCTCGTAGTTTTCCATTTTTATATTAGGACTGTCACGACAGCAAATCTTGCTGGATGATAAATTGTCCGATTAATCATTGCAAGAAACAATGTTATTTTTTAGAATTTTTTCAAGTAATGTAATTACATAATAGTGCAAGTCGAACCTCTCAAAGACCAATGAACTTTAATTTTGTAAAGAACACACAATACTTGAAGTGGAAGATATTTTAAATGGCCGAAATAAAACAGGGATAAAAACCACACAAACAACAGAAACCAATAAATAAAATGGACTGCTTAGTGTATTTATTGAAGGGCAATAGTCTAATTATTATTGCCCTTCAAAATACTTTGAAGGGCACAAGTGATAGGCAATTTTCTTTCGTACATTTATGTCCTGATACAGATCTTGAACTCAATTCATAATAGTTTTTAAAAGTCTCAGTTTTGAATTCTACAGAAGCTGTGTTTGATTATAATTTGGACTTTCCCAGATTGTTTAGTCATCTTACAGTGTGTAAACTTTGAAATTTGTAGGAAAAAAAGTCATTTTAAAGCAATAGAAATAGTTTTGACCTAAACAAGGGAAAAGTTTCAAATGATTATTAAATTTTAATTCTCATTATATGGTATATGTAAACATCTTCTTTCAATTGGCAGTGGTGAAGTGACTTACATTTGTTTGGTGTCCTGTTGGTCTTCAGAGGCAGCCAGGCTGCAAGCTGAAATAGAAGAACAGGAGAGGCTGGAAAGAGAGAGAAAGCTGGAGGAGATACAAAAGCTAGAGGAAAAGGTAAGATCCTTGCAGAATAAACTCCAAACTTTGGTGGAATATAACAGCTGCACGTAACTTTGATTTCTGCAGTCAGCGTAAAATAATGTAATACGTCTGCTGCTGACAGGCAGAGCAGAACAGAGATTTTGAGCTTACCGAACTGCGCCATCTGCTGGAGGAAAACTACTCCGCAATAATCAGATGGAAGGTTGATGCTGCAGAAAAGGCAGAGGTAGTGTTCACCGTACGATAATAATCTGATTCTTTTCAACATTTAAATATAAAAAAGACTTACTTCATAGCTTGAGTTTTTTTTCCAGACATCTCTGCATTTAAAGTATGCAAATTATATTTCAGTGATT